GCTAGTGAAACAAAAGCAAAAATGAACTTTTGGGACTTCATCAAGATAAAAAGCTTCTGAGGTTTCTCTTGACTCTGATCTGTGCTGCCATGGGGAAGCAGTGACATGGGTAAAGTGAAACTGTTCCTTTTTCCTCTTCAGTGCATTCAGTTTTGTATATTTTGCTCTAATGGTGTGCTTAAACTTTACAGGATTCCTACGATCCAACAAAGGTATTCTTATCCACGGTCTACAGATAGTTATAAAATTTGGTGTTCTTTGGCAGTAAAATTATATAAAACTATTTTATGATTTGCTAACATCACTCAAATTACATGTCTTAAAAATAAATTGTGTATAGTAGCTAAGAGATAAGTGGGAAGAATGGCATTTTACTTATTTAACTACAGTACAATATATATTGGTTAATTTTGAATTGAGAAACACTCTGACTTTTATGAAGAATCATGAGTTTAGTTATGCAATTAATCATTTTTTATGGATTTGGATCAATTTTAAAAATTATTCATCTTTAAATTGTGAGAGAATTGTATGTGCATTTGGAAAATATGATAAGTTAAAAATAAGTAGGTAAAAACATAGTAAGATCTCATTTATGTTGGGGCCCTGGGTGGCTCAGTTAGTTAAGCGTCTGCCTTCGGCTCAGGTCATGATCCCAGGGTCCTGGGATCGAGCCCCGCATCAGGCTCCCTGTTTGGCAGGAAGCCTGTTTCTCCCTCTCCCACTCCTCTTGCTTGTGTTCCCTCTCTTGCTGTCTCTCTCTGTCAAATAAATAAATAAAAATCTTTAATAAAAAAAATCTCATTTATGTTGATGTATATGATTTTTGCATTTGTATATTGTATAAACACTGGAAAATGCAAAAAATAAATATGGGAAAAGTCTGATATTTTTCCCCAACGGATAGAAAACAAGAGTGGAGATGAAGAACGGAATTGAAGTTTCTTCATTATCTTATATCTTAAATATTTTATATGGTGTAAGGAATGGTATCCTGCTTATGATAAATATTTTTTTAAAAAAATCTAAATAAGTAGGCATGTGATGTGATGAGCACTGGATCTTATATGCAACTGATGAATCATTGAATCCTACATCAGAAAATGTATGTTGGCTAATTTAATTTAAATTTAAAAAGAAAAAGAAAAAAGAAATATCAAAATAAGTAGAAAAATAAAAAATACAGCTAATTATTTTTGCTCAGATATGAGATTATAAATTAAAATCAATCTATTACCTGAAAATGTAAAGTTTCACAAAAGTCTTTTGACAGTTTTATTATTAATTAGGCTTCATGCCAGGTAACCCTACCGGGTAAAAAGAAATATCCCAATGTGGACCTAATTCTTTGCACTTCCGACTTCGTGTCATCTGTGATGGCAACATGAGACAGCATCAAAACTCATGGTTAATGCAGTTAATTAGCGCTCATTCTAATTAGTCAATTGTAAACATGCACAAAAATGCAAGACCCATATAAGTACATTTGAACTTGTGCTTACCAGATGGAGAGAAGACTGCCTGCCATTCAGCAACACACTGGAAACCAGACCAATAGCAATGTTTAAACAGGAATTTTTATCCCGTTGGACAAAAGGTCCAGCTTTTAACTTCTCTTCCTATGTGAGAAAGTGCCCTTTATTAAGCTCATTTTTATCCTCAGTATTTAAATAATTGACCCTTATAATCAGGGAAACTTGATTCTTCTTAGGTAAGTGAATTTCTTCCAAATCTCTATGCATCTACTGTAAGTTTCCCAGTGTCATTCCAGCTCTCTTGCTATGTCTAAATAGGTAAGTTTATTTCACCTGTTTGCATTTCACGTTCCTTCAGGAAAATAAGATAGCATTGCATTTTAATTTTGTTTATTAGTTACATAGGAGACATTGAAGAAAAATACATAAATCATAATAGATAATACATAAATATATCTAGGATTTTATTGGCTTTTAAAATAAAGCTCACATAGTATCTTCTTAAAGCCTTCATATAAATATTAGTAATTGTATTGTAACCTTGATTACATTGAAGTTGTACATTATTATCGTATCATTGTCATAGAAAAAAATACAAAAACAATTTTTAGCACTACCCATCTCTTCCCTCCCATTTACCTGTGCTATAATAGGATAGAGAAAAGTAGAGGAAGAAATAATCTCCCAGTTATTCATAGTGAGTCTTCAAACCATAAGAGAGACTTTTAATTATGAAAACAAACTGAGGGTTGCTGGAGGGGAGGTGGGTGAGGGGATGGGCTAAATGGGTCATGGGTATTAAGGAGGGCACTTGTGAGTAAGCAGTGGGCATTGTATGTAAGTGAAGAATCACCAAATTCTACTCCTGAATCTAATATTACACTATGTATTAACTAACTAGAATTTAAATAAAAACCTGAAACATTAAAAAACAAATATACCAAAAACACAGTTCACGTTGAACTAAGGCAAATTTTTGAATAGGTAAACAAATCACTCTATTTTATTCCAAATTTCCCTGCTACTTTTTAACCTATTTCAGCAAAGTAAAATGAAAATGTGAGGTAGTTTTTGTCTATTTTAAGCATAAATTTTAGGTTATCACAAGAAAAAATATTCTAATCTGCTTTAATGATGATCTTAATATATTTTTTTCTACATGCATTGAAGAAATTATAGTTTCCAAGATATGCTTTACCCCAGGAATAACTTCACAATCAGTGAATAACAGAACCAATGAAAAGAGACAGATTCTGAAGATTCAAGAAAATTTTTCTTGTTTCAAAAAAAAAAATCATCATGCCTGAGAAATTAACCAATGTGACCCTAATAACAACATTCTTGCTCATGGGATTCCCTGAGGATCAGGTGCTACAGAGACTTTATGCTGCTTTCTTCTCCCTGGTTTACCTGGCGGCGCTGATGGGGAAGCTCCTCATTATCACCCTCACCACCATTGACCAGCATCTCCAAACCCCCATGTACTTCTTCCTGAAGAATTTGTCTTTGATTGATATCTGTTACATCTCTGTCACTGTCCCCAAATCCGTCATGAACTCTCTGACCAACAGCCATTCCATCTCCTTCGTGGGATGTGCCTCACAGGTTTTCCTTGTTGTTTTCTTTGCTGGCGCAGAGTTTGCCCTCCTTCTGGTGATGTCCTATGATTGCTATGCAGCCATCTGCTGTCCTCTGCACTATGAGGACCTCATGAATAGAGGTGCCTGTGTGCAGATGGTGAGAGCATCATGGTTCAGTGGGTGTGTCTATGGATCCATCCATGTAGCAGGCACATTTTCTGTCCATTTCTGTGGTTCCAACATAGTGCATCAATTCTTCTGTGACATTCCATCATTGCTCATGCTTGCTTGTTCTGGGGAGCAGATTCTAGAATATGTGTTTATTATTGTTAGTTTTTGTTTTGTTTTTGTGTGTTTTACTCTCATGGTTGCTTCCTATGTTTATATTGTGTCCATTGTCCTAAGAATCCCGTCTTCACAAGGCAGGTTTAAAACCTTCTCCACCTGTATGCCCCATCTCACTGTGGTAACCTTGTTCCTCTCTTCTGGATTTATTGCATATTTAGGTTTAAACTCAAAATCCTCATCATCATTGAACCTCTTTATGTCTATATTATATTCTCTGTTACTTCCCAGCTTTAATCCTGTCATTTACAGCTTGAGAAATAGGGACATGAAAGGGGCACTTGGAAAATTTTTGGTGATAAAATGACAACAAATATATAAATATTCAAAATATCAATGACTGTGATACCTACTAATGTGTATCAAATTGTTGGTTTATACAATTAAGCTGATAATCACAAATAAAAATACTTTCAAATACAAATACAAATAATTTTGAATTATTTAGTTTATAAAATTGTTAAGTTATTAGATACCTATTGCATCATTGGTGTTGTTACATAGGATGCTGTACTTACAGGGCTAGACGGGCCTGAAAGTCAGTGGAGTGTCTTGGCCATTTCCAAATCAATGGAAATGTTCCCAATCAGTATCTTCACATCAATAGGCCACTGGTATAAAGTAATGTTTTTCATTTCAAATCCATTATAATCAGCATTGGTTTAATTCTCACTTAAAAAGTTTTTATAATACTTTCAAATTTTACATGTTTTATTATAATTCCAGATTGTGATTTATTTTTTTAATTTACTCTTGCAATAGTTATTAAAAATGAGTAATTGATTCCAAATTTACTACTTGTTTACCTTTCTTTCTTTTCTTTTTCTTTCTTTCTTTCTTTCTTTCTTTCTTTCTTTCTTTCTTTCTTTCTTTCTTTCTTTCTCTTTCTTTCTTTACTTCCTTTCTTTAGATTTATTTATTTATTTTGAGAGAGACAAAGTGTGAGTAGGGAGAGTTGCAGAGGGAGAGGGCAAGGGAGCAGTCCTTAAGCAGACTCCCTGCTGAGTATAAAGCCTGATGCAAGGCTTGATCTCAGGACCCTGAAAATAAGACCTGAGCTGAAACCAAGAGTCAGATGCTGTACCAACTGAGCTACCCAGGCAACCCAATTTTTTTCTTTTATTTGTTTGTTTTGGCAAGAATTTTTTTAGAAGCTCATTTTAATTGATTTCTTAAATACTTAACCCCACAATATTGGACTTGCAAATATTCCAATTATAACAATCTTTAGAAGATTTTATAGGCACAGTATAATGTTAACAGAAGTCATTGGAAATCACACAATGACATTTTTAAAAGTTATAAGTTTGCAAAGGAGACCATTTTTACTATGCAGTCCAAACAGAAAAAAAATATTATTCTCACATATCCAGGAATAGGATAGTTAAAAGAAGACACCGTGTTTTATTCTTACACTTACTATTTGTAAATTTTGTGTTTCACAGAAATTGATGAAGGAATTTAATGTACCAAGAATTTGAAAGCAAATTTCAATTTGTTTTCTAAATTTTAATATGTTCTTTTTAATTTATTTCTAAATTTATTTCTCTTTAGGCTTACTTTTATCATTAAATTTCTTTTTTGTTAATTTAAATGTACTTCTGGTTTACTTCTGTATACAAATACATTTGCATGGAAATCAATAATTTTTTAAATGATCTTGGTTTTATTCCATTAACTTTCCCTTCAATTTTTCTTACTATCGTCACATTCTTTTTTTTTTTTTAAAGATTTTTATTTTTATTTATTGACAGAGAAAGACACGGGGAGAGAGGGAACACAAGCAGGGGGAGTGGGAGAGGAAAAAGCAGGCTTCCCACGGAACAGGGAGCCCAAAGTGGGGCTCAATCCCAGGACCCTGGGACCATGACCTGACCAGAAGGCAGACACTTGAAGACTGAGCCACCCAGGCTCTCCTACCATCACATTCTTGAAATTCTTGCAATCTGTCTTCTTTCTATCCGTCTCATTTCTCTCATGTTTGTTTTTCTTAAAATCAATTGTTTTCCAGATTTGAAATCAATTATGGCATAATTTCTCTATCATTTGACTGTTTACTTCTCTTTCAATTCATTAGTCCATAACCCTAAGTTTCTTCTTTAATTTTCATGTTTCTGATAAAATTGGAAATGATGTGATGCTAGTTTGCTCTAGTCTTGGAACAGTGACCTTGATGATGATAATGGTTTTGATGATGACATGCCTAACTATAGGTCTAAGTGCTTCAGGTGATTTTGCCCATTATTTCTTATATCTCAGAACAGAAATTCTACAAGGTAACTACTACTGATTTTTATATGAAAAACTGGAATCAATAAATGTTAAGAAATGAATCTTAAGTCAGTTAGCCAATAATTAGCACTCTAACCATTGAATCTTAACAAGGATGCTATTCTGTATTAACTAAAGACATATTTGGAGGGACGCCTGGGTGGCTCAGTAGGTTAAGCGTTTGCCCTCAGCTCAGATCATGATCTCAGGATCCTGGGATCGAGTCCTGCATTGGACTCCCTGCTCAGCCGGTAGCCTGCTTCTCTCTCTGCCCTCTGCCTGTCACTCCCCCTACTTGTGCTCTCTCTCTCACTCTCAGTCAAATAAATAAAAATCTTAAAAAAAAGACATATTTGGATATTATTCTCACACCATCCAACAGTTTTTGCAAGTTTTATTTTTTGATATTTATATTTAATTGTAAAACAATCATCTCAGCCCTGTAATAAATATCTAACTGCTAACATTTGTTGTATTTTTGTATAAAATATTATTGTTCTTCATTGACTAATGGTTAGAAAAGGAAGACTGTGGTTAACACATATGTTGAAATACTATTTAGAGATAAAATTAAGGAAGTATTTGCATATGCAAAAAGTTGGGCACAAAAATAGAACTACCCTATGATCCAGGAATTGCATTGCAAGGTAATTACCCATAGAAGCATAAATACTAATTAAAAGGGATACATGCACCCTGATGTTTATAGCCACATTATGTACAATAATCAAATTATGGGAACAGTTCAAGAGTCCATTGGCTGAAAATGGATAAAGAAGATGTGAGATACATATATGTATATATAAAAGAATGAAATCCTGTTATTTTCAAATACATGGATGGAGGTAAAGAGTACTATGCTAAGTGAAAAAAGCAATGAGAGAAAGATAAATACCATATGACTTCATTCATATGTGCAGTTAAGAATCAAAGCAAATGAACAAAAGGAAAAAAAAGAGAGAGAGGGGCAAACCAAAAAACAGACTCTTAACTACAGAGAGCAAACTGAGGGTTACCAGAGGGGAGGTGGGGGGGGATTGGTTAAGCAGGGGATAGGTATTAAGGAGGACACATGTTCTTATGAGCACTAGGTGTTGTATGGAAGTGTTGAATCACTTTATTGTATACCTGAGACTAGTATTACACTGTATGTTAGCTAACTGGAATTTAAACAAAATTTTAAAATATGCATGGCCCCATATGTTTATTGCAGCATAATTTACAATAGCCAAGCTGTGAACACAGCCCAAATATCCACTGATAAATGGTAAAGAAAATGTGGTGTATGTACACAATGGAATATTCTCATCCATAAAAATGAATGTGATCTTGCCATTTGTCCAACATGGGTGAACCTACAGGGTATTATGCTGAGTGAAATAAATCAAAGACAAGTACCATGCAAATTCACATATATGTGGAATCTAAAGGCAACAACAACAACAACAAATCAATTGAATAAACAAACAAAAAGCAGAATTAGACCTATATATACAGAGAACAAAGTGATGGTTTTCAGAGGGGAGGGTGGTGAGGGGATGGGAAAATTGGTAAAGAGGAGTGGGAAATACAGGCTTCCAGTTAGGGAATAAATAAATCACAGGGGATAAAGTTTCAGCATAGCACATGTAATCAGTGGTATCATAATCATGTTCTATGGTGACAGATGATAGCTACATTTGTGGGGAGAAATGCATAGTGCATAGACTTGTTGAAGAAGTATGATGCACACTTGAATCTGATGTAGTATTGTTTATTATGTATACTTCAATAAAAAACAGAACTATTTTAAAAATCTCTATTTCAGTGCATATAAACTTAATACCTAAAAAAAAATTAATTACCTCTAACACCTCAGTACTTTACAATACATCTGTTGTGGGAGGAAGATCTTTCCTTCTACTTCCAAATTACTGAAGTATAATTGTACTTTCAGCAATTCCATAATAACAACCAGTCATATGATATGTCAAATATTGGTTCACAAAGATACAAGATGAACTTCACTAATGTTTCCTCTGAGCTAAAGGTCAGGTCATAGCAATAATTTCTTCCAACAGTGTGTGCTTTCCTGTTGAAGGAAATAGATGAAGAAAGGAATTACAACAAAGGATGCATATTCTTTTGATCAGAAAAAAATATGAAGACTTGTAGTATAATTTTTAAAATATTTAAAATTTAGTAAAAGAATACTTTGGAACTGCTATCTTGTTAACTCATAGTAAAAATAGATACTGTTCAAATTTTTCTATTAATTCTAAATTAAAGCATTTTAATAAAATTCTAATTAATATTTTATTAGCAGCTTCACATGATCTTAATATTGCTTATAAACAGCATCTGAATTTGGAAATGAAATAGTCAAGTAAATAATAACAATTATTAGAACCACCTTTAGCTGTCTTGTTACTATTTAGAATCTAATTGGCATGGATTTTCAAATCAGTAGCAAAGAAATATTTATCTGATAAATTCTGCCCCATGATTCAGTTAATGTGTTCCAACCACACAAAGAATTAATATCCTTCAAATGTAATCAGGATTGAAAAGTTTAAAAAAAAAACTGAAACAAATTAATATATATTGAGAACACAGTATACTTAATACTTAACTGTAATTTTGAGACTAAAATAATGCAAAGATAATATAGAAAAATATTTTATATTTTATTATATTAAGATGAACAATAGGTATTCATCTATTATGCTCCAAACAACATTATATTATTTTAATGGTGTTCTATACCGGGGCGCCTGGGTAGCTCAGAGGGTTAAGCATCGGCCTTCGGCTCAGGTCATGATCTCAGGGTCCTCGGATCGAGCCCCGCATCGGGCTCCCTGCTTGGCGGGGAGCCTGCTTCTCCCTCTCCCTCTACTGCTCCCCCTGCTTGTGCTCTCTCACTCTGTCAAATAAATAAATAAAATCTTTATTTAAAAAATGGTGTTCTATACAAAATTCTCAAAAATCATATGCACATCTATTGTCAGATATTTGCCATTTTTGATGGCATACTTTTT